GCGCACCACAATCACAACGCGCACCACAATCACAACGCGCACCACAAACACAACGCGCACCACAAACACAACGCGCACACACAGTAACGATACACTTGCTGTGCAGCTGGCGGCGCACGCGGAGTACCTGGACATCTTCGGCATGGTGCACAGCATGCGGCGCGAGCGCGTGTGGATGGTGCAGACGGAGCAGCAGTACATCTGCATCCACCAGTGCGGGACATCTTCGGCATGGTGCACAGCATGCGGCGCGAGCGCGTGTGGATGGTGCAGACGGAGCAGCAGTACATCTGCATCCACCAGTGCGTCGTGGCGGCGCTCGAGGGCCGCGACCTGGCGCCGCCGCCCGCCCACAGCCACCACCACAACCCGGCCTTCGAAGGTATGCCTGCTCTGACGCATCGCACATCTCACCTCTGCTCCTCGAACCCGCTATCTGTCCGCAACCCGCTTACAAAAATCGCCATTATTTTTAACATGGCGGAGTAAATACAGTTGAAAATTCGTGTTAGCCGCACACTCTGTACGCGAAGAGCGACTACTCCAAACATATTTTGTACTCTTGTAAACTGTTAATTAGTTGTAATCATATGTCGCTGTCCTCCTGCAGTATTGTAACTGATGACTCCTGCACCTTTTGCCATCAACGTATAATATGCCTAGTGAGGTTGTACATTTTGCAAGGACCTACAGTTTCTCGATGACACGAAATCGATTTTGCTACTTTGCTGGTCGCGCTGCCGCCCCCGCCTGAGAGCGCGCCCGTCGCCCGCACCCGGCACCCGGCGCCCGGCACCCGGCACCCGGCGACCCCCTCGCCGCCCGTCGCGCCCACCGCGAGCCGGCCCGTGAGCGCGCGTGCTGCATGCCGTCTATCTACATGCCACCACATGCCTTCGATCATTCGTCGCCCCCCGTCACCCCCCGTCCCCCCCCGTCGCCCCCCGCCGGCCTCGACACAAATGTTGCATGGATGTTACGTAGCAATAACTTTACTGAGAATATTTCTAAATTAATCTCGTGAAGGTTTATGTATAATACCTGCCTACGAGAGAAAGTCTGTGATGATAAATATACTCTACGACAAAACTAACTAACCTGTTAGTTTTTAACAAGTACTTGAAGCTGATAATATGCCATGAAGATGTAACTCTACCAACTCTAGTCTAGAGAATAATATACAATTTAAAATACTCACCTGATTCAGGTTTTTACAAATTGATGGTCGAGGCGGACGAGGTCGCGGGCGGACAGCTAGTATTCCTATAAGAGGAGTTCGCGTGTCATACTTTGGTTCATTAACACTTCTCTCATCATTAATATTTCAATTTGTGTCTTCTGCGGCGCCCCGCTTGCCGCCCCGCTTGCCGCCCCGCTTGCCGCCGCGCGTGCCGCTCCACCTCTCCCTGACGCCCCCTGCCTTCCACAGACGACGAGGGCATCGCGGAGTCTGGCATGTGAGCGCGCGCCGTGCCCGCCGTGCCCGTCGCGTCCGCCGTGCCCGCCGTGCCCGCCGCGCCCGCCGTGCCCGCCGTGCCCGCCGTGCCCGCCGCGCCCGTCGCCCGGCGCCTGACACGCCTCGTTTTCTGTACAATAGCATTTATAGTTGGGACGTTCTCATTATTTATTAATGACAATTTCGGATGGTCCGGTGTCGGTGGCCCGGTGGCTGTGGTCCGGTGCCGGACGAGAGCTAACATTCAGATATTATTTTTCAACCGAGCAATTAAAAAGATAAACCAACTTTTTTATTCGGACTCGTATATTTAGCTTCTATTTTTAAAATGGCATAAAAGGTTGGTTACTAACTGTGCTCGGTGCGCAATGCTCGGTGCGCAGTGCTCGGTGCGCAGTGCTCGGTGCGCAGTGCTCGGTGCGCAGTGCTCGGTGCGCGAGGCGGCCGGCACCAGCCGCAGCGGACGCCGACCACCCAACCGCAACGGAATGAGTCAATTCATTGCGACTTTTTATTATGAACAATTTTTTTTTAACCTTAAAGTTAACGTGACGTGACGTTGCTGTTTTGTATTTAATTGTTCGCTGCGTCAAAAAAACGTTTTCTATTCTGTTATGTATCAGACAGGTTTCCTGAGAACGACCAAACTATAAATCAATATGTTTTTGTATAAATGTATATTAAACGCAGTCACCAATTTGTTATATAAATTGTATATATGATGAGAGAAGCAAGCAAGCAAGCAAGCAACGGACGCCGAGCAGAGCGTCTCTTCACGTTTTTAACCGGATCTATACATAATGTTTTATTACATATTAAGTTTTGACTTTTATTATTTTTATATTATATTTAATATTATAAGTATAACTGTTTGAATCTCAAAATTGTACTTAAATACTTTTGTAAGCTGAGTGTTCTCACCCGACCAGACCAGGCCAGCCAGCAACGCTGCACAGTGCCGCACAACTGTGCACAGTGCCGCACAACTGTGCACACTGCCGCACAAATGTGCACAGTGCCGCACAACTGTGCACAGTGCCGCACAACTGTGCACAGTGCCGCACAACTGTGCACAGTGCCGCACAACTGTGCACAGTGCCGCACAACTGTGCACAGTGCCGCACAGTGCTCGTACAGTTGCGACCAGTGTACAAGTTACTAGTTAATTTCAGTAAAAAGAGCTGAACCGTTCCGTCCTTTTATTATGTCCTATTTATTATAATATATCAATGTGATGAATATGGTATGGATGTGATTTAATCAAAATAAATTCGCTTTGGTTTGAGAGGTAAAAACTCTGCCTAAAAACATACAATAAATTTTGTAACAAATGTATCTGTTGTTTTACTGAGTAACTTCTGAGTGCGTAGGTATACATTTAAGTTGTATTGGAAGCAGCCAGCCAGCAGACATTCGATAGTTTATTAGTTGTTAGTTGTGCGCAATGAGACCGTACACGAGACCGACCACGAGAGCTGCAGGAGGGCAGGATAAACCAGTACCCTTCCCACATCTCTCGCGGTCCCTCCTCAATAGGCACCACGGAGGCGGACAACTCCTAGTCCACCTCTGGCGCCTCCTCTGGGTGCGCCCGGCTAGCGCGCTGGACCTGTCGGGACACGATCGACTAGTCCTCCGCGCACTGCCAGGCCCGGGTCTAGTGTTTGGTTCGCGGGGCTTTCGCCCTACCCCGACCTACTACCGGGGCATTCCCCTATCCACCACCCGGAGACGCGCCATGTCGGAGTTCATCTCTCCGCCCACTCGGACAACCGAGCAGGTCCGTGGAAATTAACCTAACCTAACCTAACATCCTCGAAAACTAGTTCATGTTTCAACTCTTGATTTGCAACTTATGACCTGAGTTTACAATTTAAATTGATAAATCTAAAAACATTAACAAATGACCCTACATGTCTTAACATCAAGCGTGACATTTTTGTGGGATTTCGAAAATATGAAAATGGCAACATTAAAACTGCTTGCCGCCTGCCGCTTTCTCGTTGCTCAATAATGACAGCTTCGTCAAGATGACATTTTTATAGTTCTCAATCCTTATTCTCGAACTCTTAATGAAGTCCGTCCGATTTTATGGCACTTTTTAACATTGACAGAGCGGCGTCTGTAGGTTTTAAGGGTTACCAGTGAGCAAAAAATTCCTAGTTACTATTAAAATTCGCTAAAGATAAACAAAAATAATTTTTAGGCAATTTTTTTTAACTAATAACAAAATAGCCTGAAAGCTCTTAGTGGCAGCTTACTATTTAATAATCAACATAAATTAATACAACTTTGGGATTTCTCAAATGTTTAGGATTTCTCAACTGTTGGTCTTTAAGTGGGCCATATGTTCATAGCATATAGCTTGGAGTTTTGTATTAAATGTAATAATGCAAATGAGTACATTGTTGTAACAGAAATTGTCACAAGCTTTTTGATTGCAGTATATTCTAGTAGTGCTTGGGTAGTGCTAACGGGTAATTGTTTTCGTATAATTATTATATTAAGAATAGCGACTCAAAGGATTATGTAGTTTCTAATGCTATTTAAATTAATTTTAGTGTAGCAAGGAATCTAAAGGTGGGTGGTAACTGTATTCTGGTGGGGCTTCACTTTTTTTGTCCTATTATTTTTATATTTGCAAGACTTATGTATACCGTTTAGAATCTTATTTTCCTTTAGATAATATTTTAAGATAAAAAATATTTATTTTAATGTTTAACAAAAGTTAATTAAAAAGGCTTTTTTTTTCTCAATTCGTAAATTTGCCGGTATTTTTCTGACCTCTCACGAACCACCCTAGTACTAGGTACCTATTTTTACCGTTTAAATGCTAATACATTGCATGCATGCATGTTGTCTGTGGTCTTCGATCAAATTGTCAAGCTCAAGTCAACGTTGTCAATGTTGCATATTTGTCTCTGTGTGCAGTTTTCATCAAAGATGCTTAAAAACAGGACTGAACACTGTCAAAAACCGGAGTATAGAATACAGTAAAATTTAATATACTTTTTTATTTATAAAAAAAAATTATAATTTACAATTACTATATTACAAATACTACATTAGTAAAAATGCCGAAAGAGTATGAGATGAGGTTTTTTTATCGTTCCTCTCAACATCACCTTCGATTACTCCCATTCTCTCTTAGGCACGCATAACGTAAATATGCAAATATATGTGTCTGTAAGCTGTTAAATTGTTTAAGACTATGCATGTTTCCAGATAACTTAAATAAAGCTTATGATCAGCAAATCAGTTCACGGCTCGCTTGTGTGCAGATCAGTGAACCGGCTCGCTGTTCATTTCAGTTTGTATCTGCATAGAGCTATAATTTGCGTTTCAAGCTTCGAACTGCTAGTCACCAGGCAGCTCGCTGCTCCTCTGCTAGTAGTAACAGTACTTCGCGATGAGTCGAGAGCTGCCAATTTAGTTGTTGATGAACAGCTCAATTCAATTTAATGAGAGCTGAACTTTTAGAGCTTTTTACACATGGCTATCCAGTTTTTTCGATTATTGTTTCTCTTTTTTGTTTCAATGCGATTGTTGAAAAAGTTTTTTGTTTTTTGAAAAATACCTATTTTCAAATAGAACTGGACTTCACTGGAATGAAACTGGAATCAGTTTAAGGTAAAAATGGAATAGATAAAAAAGATAAAACAAATTTATAATTTCTAAAAAATATACTAAATAGTTACCAAAAATGTTAGACCATTAGTTTTTACTGGTTCATGAAAAATTAAAATAACTATTGATAATGATAAAAATGTGATGACACTATGTAAATTAATAAAGTTATGAATGAGCAATTTCTCTCAGCTGGGTCGGCAGAGTTTGTCAAATTATATTCTTGTACCAAGATTCCAAAATTAGGGCCCTAGCCCTGGTGACTTTATAATTTATGGTTACCTTAGTGGTAAAGAGACATTTTTTTTGTTAATTTGCGTCTCTTTCTCGTTCGGCAGAAATTTAATCTGCGATTAGTTATTGCTCAATCCTGTCTTGGAAAATAAAATATCAATGGTATAGCATTGACACCAGTGTGTGCGGCACGCGGTTGAGCGACACATGCAGACACATGCATTATACAAAATTTCATTTACAAGCAGTCAGTTGTGTGCGTGTAAAGGTACTCGCTTGTCGCGTTGCGGTGCGTGTGCTTTCTACAATATACTTTCTTCGCCTCGTAAGTAAAGCATTTTACATTTTATAGTATATTCGGTGTCTTTAATATACGCCTAGAGTACTAAATCATTAAAATTCCCCTTTGCATATTTGGAGGTCTGTTAGGATACGCCAAGATCATTCGATCGGATCGTGTCGATGCGTCACCTTTGTGAGCCATTTTACAAGTTCCTGTTATTCGAGAATCTTTGTGCATCTGGTGTGTTCCGCCGCGCCATTTTTCAATGATATGCAAACACAAGGGCGTTTAGGTAGGGAAGACATCGCGATGGTACTCTGGCGATTCTAACCTCGCACTCTCACAGATTTAGACGGGTGGCTATTTGGTTGCCGCGATCTTTCTTCATCCCTTCTACCTGATTCTCTTTCAGATAATTTATCATCTTGTAAACCAGCGCTTAAAAGTTTAACCTAAAGTAACACAATGAACTTACTTAATAATTCGATTTTTTTGAATTCATATATTACACAAATTCCATATTTAAGTCGTTTTTGTTGTAACAATGAATATAAACAAAAAATATCAAATATTAGCTACTTTGGTGCCGTAGGAACTACATTTTGCTATCACTGTAAGTCAAAATAGTTATTTTCTATTACAAGTTAGTACCTTTGACAGATCAAACATAATTTTTTATATTTTCTATGAATCCACTAGGTGGGTAACTTTGCAAAATATGAGCTTTAACAGTTAGTGATTCAACAACAAACCAATAATCTTGATTATTTTATCTGTGATTTTTATCTGCTGCATCTGCATGGTGCTATGATAGATAAGTTGTGCACAAGAGGTGGCGATGCCTTGTGTTAAACTGACAAGTTATTGGAGCAGGGCTGCATGTATGCATCAGCATC